TTAATCATTTCTACCAATTGTTGATATGATATCCTCTCCGGAATAAACAATGACCCATCCGGACGATCTTTAAATAAAACAAATTCACTTAACCTTTCTGTCGCAAAATGCCAGTACAAATTAACAAAATATGGACCGGAAAATGCCATTAATACCTGTTGCAAAAAGACACTTTCAATTCTTCACAATTACAACAACACATGGTGTCTAATATCTAATCCAACACCAAAAAAATTCAATTATTTCGGATAAATTTGAAAGCCCCAATTCTAACCCTAATTTCGAAAACCCTAAGCCCAACAACAACCAACAAATACACAATTAACAATTTATAACAAAATTCCAATCTCCAATTCAACATATACACATATTCGATAAACAATTAACAATTCCTAATGTCCAAAACAACACCACATTCAAACATATTATAACAATTCCAATTTTCCAAACAACTCCAAATAATGTAAAAAGTTAAGATAAATCAATATACCTTGTGCGAATGAATTAACCGGAAATGAGACTCGTGTCGTTGTTGTCGATTTGGTTCGGGTAGAATTGGATCGTGTTTTCTTTTTTTCACCGGAGCCGCTCGCAGAAGAAGAAAAAATTTTTTCGCCCTCCCAGAAATGAGATGCGCAAATGAGGGAGAAGAGAGAATTTTTTTTTATATTTTATAGTAAAACGTATTCTGAGAATACGTTTTACTATGAATTATTTGTAAAACGTATTTCGAAAATACGTTCTATAGTTACTATTATTTAATTCTATTCCACTATTAAACGGAAATATATTTTTTTTTTATTTTTAAAAAAATTAGTAAAACGTATTACGAGAATACGTTTTTCTAATAAATTTTTATTAGAAAAACGTATTCTAAGAATACGTGCTTTTGATTTTTTTCCACTTCTTTTTTTTTTTTTTTGTTTTTGTCCACATATTTTTTTTTGTTTTGTAATAAATAAATTACCCCAAAGTTCGAAGTGATAACTTTTTCAATTTTTATATATTTTAAATTTTCATATATTTATAAGAAAAATTTTTTGAATAAAAAAGAAAAATCTAGTACTCGAGTGTTTGCAATCATCATATACATTCGCAAATATTCGCTCAAATGTATGTTGATCTGACGGTTAAAACTTCATCTACTAACTATTAAGATGAAATTTACGTTGCGTAAATCAGCAAAATCAACTCAAATTACATTTTTTTTTGTTGTAATGATCATCTTTTATTAAATTATTTATAACAAAAATAAAAGTGGCACATATATTGCATCATAAAATTACTTTTAAAACATTTGTTAAAGGAGTGATGAAGGAAAATAATATCCTCATTTCTACTTTGCTGCTTCGTGAATCGTGTGTTATTCACTTATTTCTCCAGCCTCACCTTGCAGCTCTCTTATCCTCTTTCCGAATTATAGATTTCCATGATAAACATGTGGCTAAGATTTTTTTCCCTGTTATTATTAAAGATTTTGTCATGGAAAGCTGGAAACTTGGGCACTATTTCTATCATCCTACTGCATATTTGCTCGAAATTTGTTTGTCGGGCTCAAGCTCAACCCTCCAAGAACAAAATACCCACAGGTATTTTATGACTCATTGTCATCCAACTTCAAGATTTACTACAAACTACATCAATTATTTTTGTGGGATCTCCCATTCCTGGATTTTGTCATATTTAGGTTGTTGAGCTTGAAATCATGGTCATAAAGTTAGGTTCTTGGTGGGTTTCTTTTGGCCTTGAGATAATTAGAGAAAATCCGTTTGCGGGCTCAGTCTCTTATTATTTGTCTTAAATGCATATTTTATGGTGTTTTTAAGTTGAGATTATGCTGGCTCAGTACTTTATCCATGGCATCATTTGGTGGAGTACTCAGAAGATGCTAATAACATAATCCCACTTACTATTCTAGGATTTTTGGTTGCTCAATCGAATTTGTTTATGTATTCGGTGAACCGAATGAGTTTGAACTCAAATGAATTGCTTATAATGTCGACTATTCAGCTTGAAATTTGACATTTTAGCTGAAAACATGTTCTTTGTGTTTTAAAATGATTGAGAAATTAGAGGAGGAAGATATTCTTGTTGGAGCTGAACTGTGACCAATAATATTTGCTTTTTTATGCTCACATATAAAGTCTATTGCATTTTGTTCTTTTAAAGAGGCTGAACATTAGTTACATATTTTTATTTTTGAACTAGCCTGATAACTTTCGATCTTTAACACATACTATTGTTGCTTTTACTGCATCATTCGTGTTTCTTTTGAACTAGAAAGGGTGTTTTTTTTTCGACAGATTTTCTTGTACTGCGTCTTTTGTGTTTCTTTTGAACTAGAAAGAGTGTTTCTTTTTTTCTTTTTCAACAGATTTTCTTCCAACGTCCAAGATGCTCTATTCATCAGAAATTCTAACACCTTCAATTAGGCTCGATTCTCGTTTGTTTCATACTAGACATTTTTTCAGAGTGTCCACTGTGAATTGCAGGATCTTTGTACATATGTTTTTTCAATTACCCATTACGTGAATAAGTGAACAAAGAGGAATTAAAATTTCATAACCATTGAAAAAAGGCAAATGGGCTACCTAGAGGAACTCAATAAAGAGAGGTCGAATCCTGAGATAAACGGCAGAAAAAACACTTTCGTTCAAAAGGACGAACGAGTTCACGAGCTTCTTGTCAAGGTAACAATATCATTATTCACCTTTTTCTAATGCATCTAGCTATTATTAGTCTTAGTGTGAAAAAAAATAAATGTATACAATTTTCCTTTGCAGGTAAAAACTCATGATGAGAAAATACAATTTTACCCTGCACCGGGCTCGACTCTATGTGTTCTCTGCACAAACGAGGGGACTTGTCAAGTTGTTCAGTCACGAACAAAGCTAATGGACATACTATTACATAAGGGAAAGCCTCAAGAATCGATTTTTATTTTCAACAATTTAATCCAAGAAGGACACAAACCGTCCATAATAACATACACCATACTCTTATCCTCATTGACCGTCCAAAAACGATTCGAGTACACAAACACAATAATAGCTCAGGTGGAGAACAACGGGCTGGAGCCCGACACAATTTACTTTAATGCCCTCGTGAATGCCTTTGCGGAGTCGGGCGAAATGGAGAAGGCCATGAAAATGCTCGAGAAAATGAAGCTGCGCGGAATGAAACCCACTACTAGCACTCTCAACACGTTGATCAAAGGTTACGGGCTTTGCGGAAAGCCCGAGGAAGCTGTACAAATAATGGAGCTAATGTGTAAAGAGCACAACATAAAGCCCAATTCGAGAACCTATAATGTGCTCGTTCAGGCTTGGTGTAATAAGAATAATTTGAAGGTGGCTCGTGATTTAGTGTCGAAAATGGGGGGTTCGGGAGTGGGGCCCGATGCCATTACTTACAACATGCTGGCTAAGGCTTATATTAAGGATGGGCAGATGGGGGAGGCTAAAAACGTAATTTTGGAGATGGCGAGGAATAATGTGCGTCCGAATGATAGGACCTGCGGCATTATAATATCGGGCTACTGCAAGGAAGGTAGAATACGGGACGCTGTGAGATTCGTTTATAAGATGAAGGATCTTGGGATAAAGCCTAATCTCGTCATTTTCAACTCGTTGATCAAAGGGTATGTTGACATGTCGTATAGGGATGGCATTGATGAGGTAACCTAGTGGTTTTTCGTATCCTTTCTGTTTGTTTTTTAAAGGAAAATTGCGAAAATGTCGGGAGTATGTTGTTGCATTGTCCTGTTTTGCAAATATTAACTCGAAAGAATAGTTTTCTGGTCCGATAACTTGGACTATTCGGAGATTTGGTCGTATATATAGCTACATTTGAATTGTGGTCAAATGTTATTTTGACCACATCGGTGATGAGAAGCTATATGTGCACACTATCTGTGTCTAATTTTACTTTTTTGAATCAAATCACACCTGAATCCCAAATCTTTTAGCATGATATTCAACAATTTCTGATGAACCTACTTAATTTGGATCATAGTTAATGGACTCAATCTCCAAGTTTGTTTTTTTTCCTTTCTATATATGATGCAAAGAGATTTTCAAAGCCCCACACCATTTACAAAACTAAAACCATTATCTTGCCATGTTATAGTAAATACATTCGAAACTTTCGGTTTCCAACCCTTGCCCCCAGTTCTTCTCCTTCATAAAAAAAAGTGATTTTTCGATAATTGCAGGTTTTAGGTTTGATGGTGAAATTCAAGGTCAAACCGGACGTGATCACGTTCAGCACCATCTTGAATGCATGGAGCGAGGCCGGCTACATGATCAAGTGCCAGGAAGTTTTCAATGACATGGTTCGGGCCGGCATAAAGCCCGATCTCCACGCATACAGCATCATAGCCAAGGGCTATGTTCGGGCCCAAGAGCCCGATAAGGCAGAGGAACTCCTGGCTGCCATGGAGAAAGCCCGTGTGGGCCCAAATGTCGTGGTCTACACAACCGTCATCAGTGGATGGTGCAACCGGGGCTCGATGGGCTCCGCCCTTAAGCTTTTCGGTAAAATGGTTGAGAATGGGATATCCCCCAATTTAAAGACGTTCGAAACCCTAATTTGGGGCTATGTGGAAAACAAGCAGCCATGGAAAGCTGAGGAAGTTTTGCGGGTTATGGAGAGGTTTCGGGTTCGGCCCGAAAAGAGCACTTTTGGGTTGATTGCCGAAGCTTGGCGTGGGGCCGGGCTAACCGATGAGGCGAACCGGATAATGGGCTCGTCTGGAAATTCGGTTACGGTTGAGGAAATGCATGAAGATGGGCTAGAGATATTTTACGAGAAGGGAGGGGTAAATTCGTCATTTACGGTCTTGAGGGATCAGAAGGGATTGGCTGGCGGGCCGGGAGGTTCGTGCTCGACTAAAGTTGTGAACTTTAAGGGTCGGCATTTGGGGGGACGATGGCCGGTGGTTGGCCGGAGAAGTTTTCAGGGGCAGATTTGTGTGTCTGCTCAGTTTGCACCATGTTGTTGTATGCAGGTCTTTTGTTGATGATCTGATTAATCACTTGTAGGAGGTAAAGAAAGGATTTTTATTTTTTTTGTCTCTTCAAGGTTGATTNGTGCCATTGTTAACTCAGTTATGGTCTTTTGCATTTTAAGTTTAGCATATTAAGCCTACAATGAGACCTGAAAAGAATGATAATAGTGTATGGTTTGAAAGTTTGATGAAAATAAAGAACAAGTGTCTTGAAGGTGTGGCTGATTTAAGCCTTTTTAACAAATTTGCCTTGGGAAAAAAGATATATATTTTTCTAAAGTTAAAATTGATAGTATTCCCCAAATGTAGTATATATCTCAAATTGCCTTGTATCGAAAGAAAATCCAAAATTACTGAATTTTTTGCACCAGCAAAACTAAATCGTAAGATTATTGATATACTTCTGTGCACGTAATTGTCTTCAAGATAATGGTAAAAGTAAAAACTAAAAACAAAATGTACGGAGAGTCAAACAATGAATATTAACTTCGAACACAATTTTAGAACAAATTACTAAAATAAATAAACAAAGTCGAGCCACGTGAAACACCATTCCCCGTTAGATGAAATTATCACAAATTAATGCTTACGATTTTCGACAAACTTCTTCAACGAATAATGACTTTTAGTTTGTGTAGAGTGACACTTCAAATACATAAAATTTCGGCAAATATACACGTGTTTAGAATTCTTAAGAAAACGAATAAAAAACAATGATCATAAGATTTCGACAAATGTTGACAATCTTTTTGCACCAATATGTGCTTCATGCCGTGGGCTCGTCGCTTTGTCATCCGTCGCAAGCGTGACTTACTTAGTGTCTACATGCTCGATTCTGACTAAATTTGGAACTACTTAGACTCAAATTTGACTTAAGAAGACTGAATTATCCTATTTTTCCACATTTGAATTATTTTTTAATCAACTCTAAAATTGTTTTGAGATCTTTTTCTAAAATTTCAATTTACAAAACATGGAACCATAAGAGCACCCACAATGCTTTGGGTCTCTTTTTGCATATGTGGCAAATAAATAGACTTAAGTCCATAATGACATGGACAAACCCAAGCTAAAAAATCCAAAATCTATCAAATACGAAAAAAAAGTACTACGTCTAAAATACCTAACAACCAATAAAAATATAATAATAGTAAATGCATACAAAAAAATCTATTTTGCCTATTAAAAAAAAATTGTGAACAATTGCTGACTGGGCAGATTTGTACTTGGGTCCAAAATAGACCCAAGAGTGGACTTGGTCTCTTTTTTCTAGTGTCACATAAGTTAGACCATGTCTACTTTTTATTGCATTTGAATACATTTTTTTATGGACTAAAATTATTTCCTACATGGCACTTGATTTTTTTTAAATAAACCCAAAGCATTGTGGGTGCTCTAAGTACAAAATCATTTTATCTTAATTTTTTTTAAAAAAAAAAAAACGACTACATATATTGCGTCATCATAATATTACTAGTTTTACCTCGTGCATTTGCACGAAAAGCGATATAATAGAAGAGAAAGTAATTAAAAATATAGATTAAAACAAAAATCATAACTTAATAAATGAGAAAATAAATAATTTAAAAATGTGAATCTAAATATTATTAAACATCTCCTTATATAAAACATTTGTGGCTTTCCTATCGTGAATTCCTATCACAACAAATCATTATCGTTAAACCTATTCGACTCGTGATTCGGGGATTTGATTTTTTAAATATCTTTGTAATATCCAAAAAAATATTTTTTTTATTATTGTATGACTGCAATAGAAAATAGAGATATATGTATTTATTCTTAATTTGTTGTGAAATATGTATTTTTATAATAGCAAAAAATATATAGTATCAAAATAAAAACAAAAACATTTTGTATTTCAGGACATAAAAAAAAAGTTTTAGAAATGGGCACCATCCAAAATGGGACCTATCAAAATAAAATGTGCAGCCGAAAGTTATACTCCCTCCTTTTTTTAATAGATGTCGTTTTAAGAAATTGCACACTAATTAAGAATATTATTTTTGTCAATAATAACCCTCATTAATGAGGATAGAGAAGGATGCTTTGAGAAAATATAAAGAGTGAATATGAAAAGACGTAGTGTATTTATTATCTAGATAAGGATAATAATGGAAAAATATGTACAAAAGATCTAAAACTGTCATTTATTTATACAATTGTTGATAAAGTCAAAATGATATTTATAAAAAAAAGGAGGTAGTATATTTTTATTAAATGGTGGACATATTTTTATTAAATGAAACACCTATTTTTTATTAAATGAACTTATATTATTATTAATTGTTGGTTGAATAAAATTTATTAAAGCTTGTCAGCAATTATATATATATATATATTTATAGATTTATGAAAATCTAAAAAATTGGTGATATGAAGGGAAAGAAAATATGGGGCCAAAAAAGAGGGAAATATCCATATTCGTGTGTTTTTCTACAGCCACACTTCACACTTCACTCTCTTTTTTGTTGAATTACTGAATTTCATGACACACATGTGGATAAGATTTTTTTTAATAATTAATTTCAAAGAATTATCCTGGGAAGCTGGAAGCTATTTGTATCATCCAACTGCATATTTGCTCGAAACGAAAACCTCCACGAACAAAATAGCCACAGGTATTCTATGACCAATTGTCATATTTGCTTAAAAAATTACATCAATTGTTTTTGTTGGCGATGGGTTTTTGAGTTTCGATTTCATGATTTTGTCCTATTTGCTTGAAAAATACATCAGTTGTTTTTGTTGGGCGATGGCTTTCTGTGTTTTCCATTTATCGATTTTGTGTTTACTGCAACAGAAACACAAAATTGATCTATGGAAAATATCTTGAGCTCCTTTTTAGCTCCTTCTATGGCTTCTCCTCTCTGATTATCAACAGAAAATCTGTTCAAATCATGATGGTGTTTTAAGTTGAGATTATGCTGGCTTAGTCGTTCACTCATTGAACCATCTGGCGAAGTTTTCAGAGGATGATAATGACATGGTCCAAAGTGGGATTTCTTGGTTGTTCAATCGAATTTGTTTATGTAATCGGTGAACTGAATCAGTTTGGATTTAAACAAATTGCTCATAAATTTTGATTATCCAGCTTGACTCTACATTTTAGCTGAAAATGTGTTCTTTGTGTTTTGGAATGATCTAGAAATTAGTGGAGGAGGAGGATATTCTTGCTATAGTTGATGTTGAACTGTGACCAGCAACACTTGTTTCATTTTTTTTATCTTCGGCCAGCTTAGATTTTTTTATGCTCTATTCTTCGAAATTGATTGAGAAGCTTGAGTTGTTGAAGTTTCTCCCAGCTTACATCCTTTTTGGCCTTTTATTCCTGTGCGTGTTAAATATATGTTTCACATATGAAGTGTATTACATTTTATTCTTTAAAGAGACTGAGCCTTGGTTACACATTTTGTATTATCCTATGTGAACTAATTTGAAAATGTTTGCAGTGTAGTCTGATAACGTTCGATCTTTAGCACTTACTATTGTTGCTTATACTGCATCATTTGTGTATCATTTGGACTTGTAAGAGTGCTCTATTTTTGTTTTCAACTAATTTTATTTTAGGGGTGTCATTCTTGCTTATTTCTTTTTTCATCTAAGACATTTGTTCAGAGTGTCCACTGTGAATTACAGGATTTTGTATATAATTTTTTCAATCACAACGCAGACGATGGGCTACCTAGAGGAATTTGATAAAGAGAGGCCGGATCCTGAGGTAAACAGCAAAAACACCACACGAGTTCAAGAGCTTCGTCTCAAGGTAACACTAATTGTTTTATTTTTCTGATGTCACCAACTATTGAACTTAGTCGACAAAACTAAATGCATAAAATATTTCTTTGCAGGTAAAAACTCATGATGAGAAAATACAATTTCACCCACCACTGGGCTCAACTCTCTGTGCTGTCTGCGCAAATGAGGGAAGTTGTGAAGTTGTTCGGTCGAGAACAAAGATGATGAACAGACTAGTAGATATGGGAAAGCCTCAAGAATCCGTATCCATTTTTAACGATTTAATCCAAGGACACAAGCCCAATTTGATAACCTACAACGTGCTTGTTCGGGCTTGCTGTACAGAAAATAATATGAAGGCAGCTTGGGATTTAGTGTCGGAAATGGCGGCCTCGGGCGTGGGGCCCGATACCATCACTTACAACACGTTGGCTACGGCTTATATTAAGGATGGACAGATGAGTGAGGTAAAAAACGTAATTCTGGAGATGGCAAGGAATAATGTGCGTCCGAATGAAAGGACCTTCGGCATTATAATCTCAGGCTGCTGCAAAGAAGGCAGAATACAGGACGCCTTGAGATTCGTTTACAAGATGAATGATCTCGGTATAAAGCCTAATCTCGTCATTTTCAATTCGTTGATCAAGGGGTGTGTTGACGCGTCGGATATTAATGAGGTAACCTAGTGGTCTTTTTGTATCGCTTTCTGTTCGTTCTTGTTTTCCCGAAACTAACAGTGAAAATGGAAAAGAAAGTTAAAATAATGAAGAGAAAAAATGCAAAAATGTCAGGAGTATGTGTTGCATTGTCTTATTTTACAAATATTAACTCGATAGAATAGTTTTCTTATCCTGTAACCTGGACTATTTGGAGGTGATTTGGTCGTCTATATAGCTGCGTTTGAATTGTGGTCCAATGTTTTTTTGACCACATCGGTGATTAGGAGCTATGTGCCACTATCGTGTCTAATTTTACTTTTGGAATCAAATCACCTAAATCCCAAATCTTTTAGCATGATATTCAACAATTTCTGATGAACCTACTTAATTTGGATCATAGTTAATTGACTAAATGTCCAAGTTTTTTTTTTTCTGATTTGATATTGCAGGTTCTAGGTTTGATGGCAAATTTCAGTGTCAAACCGGATGTAATCATGTTCAGAACCATCATGAGTGCATGGAGCAAGGCCGGCTGCATGATTAAGTGCGGGGATGTTTTTTATGAAATGGTTCGGGCCGGAATAAAGCCCGATGTCCATGAATACGGCATCCTAGCCAAGGGCTACGTGCGGGCCCAGGAGCCCGAGAAGGCAGAGGAACTCCTGGCTGCCATGGAGAAAGCCCGTGTGGGCCCGAGTGTTGTGGTCTACACACTCGTCATCAGTGGATGGTGCAGCCGGGGCTCAATGGGGTCCGCCCTTAAGGTTTTTGGGCAAATGGTCAATAAAGGGATTTCCCCCGATTTAAAGACCTTTGAAACCCTAATCCGGGGATATGCAAGAAACAAGTTGCCGAGGAAGGCCGAGGAAGTTCTCCGGGTTATGGAGAGGTTTGGGGTTCGGCCCGAAAATAGCACTTTTGAGTTGATTGCCGAAGCTTGGCATGGGACTGGGCTAACCAAAGAGGCAAACCGGATAATGAGCTCGTGTGGAAATTCGGGTACAGATCAGGAAATGCATGAAGATGGCCTAGAGAGATTTTACGAGAAGGAAGGGGTAAAATCGTCATTTTCGAGTCTGGGGATTACTAGCACGGTATTGAGGGATCAGAATGGATCAGCTGGCCCAGGCAAAAGAAGCCGGATAGTGTTGAGGGAAGCTGGACGTTCGTGCTCGACAAAAGTTGTGAATTTTAAGGATCGGCATTTGTGCGGACGATGGCCCGTAGTTAGACGGAGAAGTGTCCAGGGGCAGCTGCTGTGTGTGTCTGATCAGTTTGGACCATGTTGTATGCAACTCTTCTGTTGATCTGATTAATCACTTGTAGGAGGTAAAGAAAGGATTTTTATCTTTTATTTTATTTTTTTTCTTAAAAAAAAAGTGCCACTGTTAACTCAATTATGGTCTGTTTGAACACCTTTATGTCTTTTCCATTTTAACATTATAACATATGAAGCCTACAATGACACCTGAAAAGAATGCTAAAAAGTGTAAGGTTTGATGAAAATAAAGAACAAGTGTCTCGGGATCTCCGGTGTGGGCCCTTAGTGGTGTTGGTCGTTGTGGTTGCGACTGCCAACAGAGGTGGTGTGAGAGAGGTCGTTGGTTCGGGTCTCTTGGGCGGGTCAGGATGCGTTAGTTTAGTAGTAGGTTTGTGTTTTTGTTTGTTTGTGTTTTTGTGTTTTTGTGTTGTTGGGATTCTCTCGTGTGGGAGCAGGTCTATTCTCCTGTTGGAAGTTTTTGAGTCTTGAGTTTGTTTGGTCTAGTGTCAGTTCTAGGCGACCCTCAGGTCTGGCCTTCTACTAGATTTGGTTTTATAGCTATTTTGTCAGTTGTTTGGCTGTTTTTGGATGTAAATATTTTTGTTGTTATTAAAAGTTCCTATAGTTTCTTAAAAAAATGAAAAAGAAAAAAAAAAGGTGTCTTGAAGGTGTGGCTAATTTAAGCCTTTTTAACAAATTTGCCTTGGGAAAGATATACTCCCTCCTATTTTTAATAAATGTTGTTTTGAGAAGTTGCACAATAATTAAGATTTTTTTTTGCCAATAATAATCCTCATTAATGAGGATAGAGATTGATGTTTTGAAAAAAGATAGAGAGTGAATATGAAAAGACGTAGTGTATTTATTAGTTAGATGAGGGTAATAATGAAAAAATATGTATAAAATAGCCAAAACGACATTTATTTGACAAATGATCAATTAAGCTAGGATGACAAATAATAAAAATAGGAGGAAGTATATTTTTTTCAAAAGTTAAATTGATAGTGTTCCCAAATGTATATATTTCAAATTGTCTTGCATCCAAAGAAAACCCAAAAATATTGAATTTTCTCCGTACCAACAAAAGTAAATCAAAAGATTATCGATTTTTTTTGGTTAGTGATACACTTGTGTGTACATAATTATCTTCCAAATAATGTTAAAAAACAAAATGTACGAAGAACAACGATAAATGTTTCGATCAAATAATCAATATAAAATACGAACACAAATAATGAACAAATTTTACAATACTAGTGTTTTGATTACAACAAGAAACCTGTGAACTGAATATTTTGGTTTTTAGTTCGTACAACTTGAACTAAAAAACACAGAAAATAACAAAACGCAAATTGTAGATGCTAGAAGAGAACCAATTGAGGCGAGGACTGCTCTTTCCGCAAGACGAATACGCCCCGTAGTATGTCGACGGATTTAGGCGTTTCCTCCTCAAAGATACCACGACTACGTCTCAGAATCTGGCACTTCATACTTTGGAGCTCCGACGAACTCGAACGGAGTCGAAAATCGAGCACTGTATATTATGATACGTGAGTCTTTTTCTGGATAGTACAAATTCAGATGATGTCATTGTGTCTATATGCGACTCTAGATAGGTCCAGACTCCCAACCAGTAAGAGGTGGCTTTTTGTCTTCAACTACTTAAGGCATGAAACAACCAATTAATGGCTGTTGTAAGTGGGAAAAAACGGTCAGGTATTAGCATGCCATTTTCAGGTTTTAACACGCCATCAGTCCACCTGATAACCACTGATGGTCAGGTGGAAGGTCACTCGTCCAGGTTCAGTGAACCTAGAGATGTCTCACTCGAGTTGGGTCAAAAACCCGAGTCCAAATCCAACTTGAATTGGGTTTCAATTTTGACACAAATTTATAAATAAAATTGCAACAAAAATATATATAGTGGTTGAGCCCAAGGCTCAAGCCCTGCACCAAACCCAGATTGTCCAAGGTCGCCCATAGTCCAATTTATCAAGGACCAAGGACCACGTCCCAGGCCCGCGCCAAGTCGAACGACCGATCAGTGGGCGGGCGCACATTTGGCCGAAGCCAACACCAACACTTGGTGCATAGCATTGTTCTTGTTGTGGAATTTTCAACTTTTTTTTTTTATAATAAAGAGAGTTAACCTGATTTAATAGTCTAATGATAGAATGACTATTGACCCTTCGAATCCAACAACAATGATTTTACATGTCCATTTATGGCTAACATTAATCATTTATTTCTCACTCATCGAAAATCAATTTTGAGAAAATAAATATACCACAAGTATCTACTCAGAACGTAGATTTTTTCTATACAATTAATTCAACCTGGATTAAATATTATGCCATAAAAAAATTTAATCAAAACTAGGTCAAACTCAAGTTTTTTAACTGATTTTTCCTACAAAATAACTTAAATATATAAACAAAGTCGAGTCAAGTGAAAAACCATCCCCATATGATGAAATTGCCACAAATTAATGCCTACGATTTTCGATAAACGTCTCCAACGTACAATGACTTTTAGTTTGTGTAGCGTGACACTTCAAATACATAAGATTCTGCAAACTTACATGTGTTTAGAACTCTTCGAAAATGAATAAAAAATTATAAATATAAGATTTCGACAAATGTCGAAAATCTTTTTGCACCAATATGTGCGTTCAGACAGTGGATTCGTCGCGCTCATGATGAGCTTCACTGCCGAATAAAGTTGTCAGTCGTACATGCTCGATTAACTAACTTCGGAACTACTTAGACTCAAATTTGACTTACAAAAACTGATTTTTCCTATTTTTCAACTTGTGAATTAATTTCTAATTAACTCTAAAATTGTTTTGATTTCCTGTTCTAAAATTTCGATTTACAAAACATGGAACATGAGTACAAAATCAATATATCTTACAATTATTTAAATTAAAAAAATAAAAACGACTACATATATTGCATCATAATACTATTTCTAAAAATCTACAAATTAGTGGTAAGAACTAAGAAGGAAAAGAAAATATGGGGCCGAAAAAGAGGGAAATATCCATATTCGTGTGTTTTTCCTACAGCCGCACTTCACACTTCACTCTCTTTTTTCGAATTATAGATTATAGATTTTCATGATACACATGTGGATAAGATTTTTTTTTTTTTTTTTTGTTATATTTATTTTCAAAGAAATTATCCTGGGAAGCTGGAAACTTTTGCTCACTACTAAACTATTTGTATCATCCACCTGCATATTTGCTTGAAAGTCGAAACGAATCCTCCACGAACAAAATAGTCACAGGTATTTTATGACCAATTGTCATATTTGCTTAAATAATTCATCAGCTGTTTCTGTTGGGCGATGGCTTTTTGAGTTCCCATTTCCTGATTTTGTTCTATTTGCTTAAAAAATTACATCAATTGTTTTTGTTAGGCGATGGTTTTCTGTGTTCCCATGTATTGATTTTGTGTTTATTGTTAACAGAAACACATTGATCTATGGAAAATATCCTGAGCTCCTTTTTAGCTCCTTCTATGGCTTCTCCTCTCTGATTATCAACAGTTTGCCTTTGAATAATTAGTGAAAATCGGTTCAAATCATGATGGGCAAGTTTTATGGTGTTTTAAGTTGAGATTAAACTGGCTTTGTAGTTCATTCATTGCTCCATTTGGCGAAGTATTCAGAACATGATAATAACATGGTCCCAAGTGGGATTTCTCAGTTGTTCTATCGACTTTTCTTATGTAATCAGTGAACCGAATCAGTTTGGATTCAAACAAATTGCTCATAAATTTTGATTATCCAGCTTGATTCGACATTTTAGCTGAAAGTGTGTTATTTGTGTTTTGGAATGATCTAGAAATTAGTGGAGGAGGATATTCTTGCTATAGTTGATGTTGAACTGTGGCCACCAGTATCTGTTTCATTTTTTTTTTTCTTCGGCCGGCTTAGAGTTTTTATGCTCTATTCTTGGAAATTGATTGAGAAGTTTGAGTTGTTGAAGTATCTCCCAGCTTACATCCTTTTTGGGCTTTTATTCACCTGCTTGTTAAATCTATCTTTTCACGTATGAAGTATATTGCGTTTTATTCTTTAAAGAGACTGAGCCTTGGTTACATCTTGTATTATCCTAAGTGAACTAATTTCGAAATGTTTGCAGTGTAGCCTGATAACATTAGATCTTTAGCACTTACTATTGTTGCTTATACTGCATCATTTGTGTATCATTTGGACTTGAAAGAGTGCTTTAATTTTACTTTTGTTATAGTTCTTGGTAGTTAAATTGTTAGTTAATTACGTGTTAGTGTTCAGGGGCATTTTAGTATTTTCCTTTTGGAGCTGAATGTAAAGTGTGATAAAGGCCAAAAAGGATGTGTTCAGGGACATATTTCTTTGGCTGCTTTATTTCATCTGATGAGACATTTGTTCAGAGTGTCCACTGTGAATGCAGGATTTTGTACATAATTTTTTCAATGATACCGCAGACGATGGGCTACCTAGAGGAGTTTGATAAAGAGAGGCCAGATCCTGAGATAAACGGCAAAACCATCACCTTTGTTCCAAAGAACGAACGAGTTAAAGAGCTTCGTGTCAAGGTAACAAACATTGTTTCCTTTTTCTGATGTCACCAACTATTGAACTTAGTCGACAAAACATAATGTATACAACTTTTTGTTGCAGGCAAAAACTCATGATGAGAAAATACAGTTTCACTCGCCACTGGGCTCGAGTCTCTGTGCTGTCTGCGCAAATGAGGGAAGTTGTAAAGTTGTTCCGTCGAGAACAAAGATGATGAAGACACTAGTAGATATGGGAAAGCCTCGAGAATCCGTATCCATTTTTAACAATTTAATCCAAGAAGGACACAAGCCCAATTTGAGAACCTACAACTCGCTTGTTTGGGCTTGGTGTACTGAAAAAAATATGAAAGCGGCTTGGGATTTAGTGTCGGAAATGGCGGTCTTGGGAGTGGGGCCCAATGTCATCACTTACAACATGTTGGCTACGGCTTATATTAAGGATGGGCGGATGAGGGAGGCCAACAACGTAATTCTGGAGATGGCAAGGAATAATGTACGTCCGAATGAAAGGACCTGCGGCATTATAATCTCAGGCTACTGCAAGGAAGGTAGAATACAGGACGCCTTGAGATTCATTAACAAGATGAAGGATCTCGAGATAAAGCCTAATCTCGTCATTTTCAATTTGTTGATCAAGGGGTGTATTGACGCGTCTGATATTAATGGCATTGATGAGGTAACCTAGTGGTTGTTTGTATCGCTTTCTGTTCGTTCTTGTTTTCCCCAAAGTAACAGTAAAAATGGAAAAGAAACTTAAAAAAATGAAGGGAAAAATGCAAAAATGTCAGGAGTATGTTGCATTGTCCTGTTTTACAAATATTAACTCGAAAGAATAGATTTCTGGTCCGGAAAAATGCAAAAATGTCAGGAGTATGATGTTGCATTGTTCTGTTTTACAAATATTAACTCGAAAGAATAGTTTTCTGGACCGGTAACCTGGACTATATGGAGATTTGGTCGTCTATTGGTCCAATGTTATTTAAAAAATTTGATATCTAGCCTGGTTTTGACCGCATCGGTGATTAAGAGCTACGTGCCACTACTGTGTCTAATTTGCTTTTTGAATCAAATCACCAAAATCCCAAATCTTTTAGCATGATATTCGACAATTTCTGATGAACCTACTTAATTTGGATTTTGGATCATAGTTAATGAATTAAATGTCCAAGTTTTTTTTCCTTTCTATATATGATTCGAAGAAACTTTTGAAGGAACAAAGCCCCACACTATTGACAAAACTAAAACCATTATCTTGCCATGTTAGTAAATTCACTTGAAACTTCCATTTTCCAACCATTGTCCCCAGTTTTTCTCCTTCATCAAAAGTGATGGCAGCACACCTTGAGAAATAATAAATTCACGCCACTTTCTGATTTTGATAATTGCAGGTTTTAGATTTGATGGCGAAATTCGAGGTCAAACCGGACGTGATCACGTTCAGCAGCATCATGAATGCATGGAGCGATGCTGGCTACATGATCAAGTGCCGGGAGGTTTTCGAGGACATGGTTCGGGCCGGCATAAAGCCCAATGTCCGTGCATACAGCATCCTAGCCAAGGGCTACGTGCGGGCCCAGGAGCTCGAGAAGGCAGAGGAACTACTGGCTGCCATGGAGAAAGCCCGTGTGGGCCCGAATGATGTGGTCTACACAATCGTGATCAGTGGATGGTGCAACCAGGGCTTGATGGGGTCCGCCCTTACGGTTTTTGGAAAAATGGTCAAGAAGGGGATTTCCCCCAATCTAAATACGTTTGAAACCCTAATCCGGGGATATGCAAAAAAAAAGCTGCCGGGGAAGGCCAAGGAAGTTCTGCGAGTTATGGAGAAGTTTGGGGTTCGGCCCGAAAAAAGCACTTTTGGGTGGATTCCCCAAGCTTCGTGTGAGGCCAGTCTAACCAATGAGTCTGGAAATTCGGGTATGGCTCAGGAATTGCATGAAGATGTCCTAGAGAGATATTACGAGAAGGAAGGGGTAAAATTTGTCATTTTACCTAGCACGGTCTTGAACTTAGTAGACAAAACTAAATGCATACAATTTTTCTCTGCAGGTAAAAACTCGTGATGAGAAAATACAATTTCACCCGCCACTGGGCTCGACTCTCTGTGCTGTCTGCGCAAATGAGGGAAATTGTAAAGTTGTTCTGTCGAGAACAAAGATGATGAGCACACTAGTAGATATGGGAAAGCCTCAAGAATCCCTATTCATTTTTAACGATTTAATCCAAGAAGGACACAAGCCCAATTTGATAACCTACAACGTGCTTGTTCGGGCTTGGTGTACTGAAAAGAATGTGGAGGCGGCTTGGGATTTAGTGTCGGAAATGGTGGCCTCGGGCGTGGGGCCTGATGTCATCACTTACAACACGTTGGCTACAGCTTATATTAAGGATGGGCGGATGAGTGAGGTAAAAAACGTAATTCTGGAGATGACAAGGAATAATGTGTGTCCGAATGAAAGGACCTTCGGCATTATAATCTCAGGCTACTGCAAGGAAGGAAGAATACAAGACGCCTTGAGATTTGTTTACCAGATGAAGGATCTCGGATTAAAGCCTAATCTCGTCGTTTTCAATATGTTGATCAATGGTTGTCTTGACGCGTCGGATATTAATGAGGTAACCTATTGGTTTTTTGCATCGCTTTCTGTTCTGGTTTTCCGTGGAAAAGATAGTTAAAAATATTAAAAGGAAAATTGCAAAAATGTCAGGAGTATGTTGCATTGTCCTGTTTTACAAATATTGACTCGAAAGAATAGTGTTCTCGACCGGTAACCTGGACTATTTGGAGATTTGGTCGTCTATGTAGCTGCACTTGAATTGTGGTCCAATGTTTTATTTAAATATTTGGATAACTATCCTGATTTTGTCCGCATCTGTGATTAAGAATAAGAGCTATGTGCCACAACCCTGTCTAATTTTACTTTTGGAATCAAATCACCTAAATCCCATATCTTTTAGATGATATTTCAACAATTTCTGATGAACCTACTTAATTTGGATCATAGTTAATGGACTAAAATGTCCAAGTTTGTTTTTTTCTGATTTGATATTGCAGATTCTAGGTTTGATGGCAAATTTCAGTGTCAAACCGGATGTAATCATGTTCAGAACCATCATGAGTGCATGGAGCAAGGCCGGCTGCATGATTAAGTGCGGGGAGGTTTTCGATGAAATGGTTCGGGCCGGAATAAAGCCCGATGTCCATGAATACGGCATCCTGGCCAAGGGCTACGTGCGGGCCCAGGAGCCCGAGAAGGCAGAGGAACTCCTGGCTGCCATGGAGAAAGCCCGTGTGGGCCCGAGTGTTGTGGTCTACACACTCGTCATCAGTGGATGGTGCAGCCGGGGCTCAATGGGGTCCGCCCTTAAGGTTTTTGGGCAAATGGTCAATAAAGGGATTTCCCCCGATTTAAAGACCTTTGAAACCCTAATCCGGGGATATGCAAGAAACAAGTTGCCGAGGAAGGCCGAGGAAGTTCTCCGGGTTATGGAGAGGTTTGGGGTTCGGCCCGAAAATAGCACTTTTGGGTTGATTCCCCAAGCTTCGTATGGAAATTCGAGTATGGATGAGGAAATGCATGAAGATGGGCTAGAGAGATTTTACGAGCAGGAAGGGGTAAATTCGTCATTTCCGAGGCTGAGGATACCTAGCACGGTCTTGAGGGATCAGAAGGGATCAGCTGGTCCGGGCAAAAGAGGGCGGATGGTGTTGAGGGAAGCCGGAGGTTCGTGCTCGACGAAAGTTGTGAATTTTAAGTGTCGGCATTTGGGGGGCCGATGGCCGGTGGTTAGCCGGAGAAGTTTCGAGGGGCAGCTGCGTGTGTCTGATCAGTTTGCACCATGTTGTATGCAGCTCCTTTGTTGATCTGATTAATCACCTGTAGGTAAAGTAAGGATTTTTATCTTTTGTTTCTTCAAGGTTGATTTTTGGACAGGGGTATGGCTAAT